AGCTCTACAAGATGGTGCCCACAGATTTTCATTGCGACGTTTCGTATTTGGGAATACATCATCACTTAATATTTTTATATGGATCGGAGAAAAAGTACATGTTGTATTGAGTAGCATTTTTTGTTACGAATACAACGATGTAGGTATGGCACAATTTGATTCTTTATTATGTCATTTAAACGAGTCATTTTGTTAACCCCTACTACACCAAAATGTTTAACATTATTTATTTAAGTCAGAAAAATGCTGGTTATTAAAGTTTGAGTATCATGTTGACAAAATGTTAAAATAATTTATTGATGGTTGTGTTCGTAATAAAAAATGTAGTACTCAATACTCAATTTTTTACGGTCAGTATAAAAATTTGAAATTGATGAGTTCTCAAAGACTAAACGTCGCAGTAAAGATCAGTGGGCACCATCTTGTAGAGCTTAAGGCTGGGATTGCCTGAAAAGAGAAGTACCCATAGTAAAGGACAAAGTTTTTTTCGTTAGACTGTGCTGGTACCTAATAATGAGTAGCGTAACTACAGCAGTTTTCTATACAAATATTTAAATCATTATACTCTCTTTAAGTGGGCCCCAAACAACGCAGAGGGAGCTTTAAACAAAAATGCAATTTGAATTGCATAACCACACGACAAGAAGATACAAAACACAAACGCAAGGTCGTTCACGGCTCCTTACAGACTGCTAGGTTAACAAAATTATAATTAGCTCTACCGCACATAACTTGAGGAGAATAATGAACGCTTGTAACGTAACTTATCAAGTAAAAATCGCGTAATTATTGGCATGGGGGACTTTCAAAATTAAGGTCGGAAAATTGGTTCACAAGTGGAGACAGGGGCTTTTTGTTTGGAAGGGCCCTTATATTAGTAAAACTCTCGATTCCTTCACTTAACGGTAAAAAGCCGACATCTAACAAAACACCTTTGGAAATTCAATTCTTTTTCATTGTTACCATTGAATAAAGAGGTTTTTATTCAATGTCATTACGAAGTGTGTTTGTTATACTTATGAGTTATGACGATCCGAGTACCTATTCAAATAACAGGTAACGACCAACTCGCAAGACTGTAACTAACGAAATGTTATTACAGTAGAGACGCGTTTTGACTTTTAGGACTTGGAAAAAGTTCAACCATATTTTCATTTTTTTTTGTATTTTTTTCTGAAACGCTAGTGAAATTTCGAATTAGAACAAGCAAAAGCTTTTATGGAGAATGCATTTTTGTCAAAAAGTAGGTATAGTAAAAGTCAATCCGGGGACATACGGTATACCGATTATTTTTTTTAAATTTTTTTAGCCGTTTATACCCATTTGTATCTCTCTTCCCCATGTCTTAAATTCGAGGGATGGTCTTTTGTAAATTAGTAATATACAGGCTGATTCAAATTCGAGGGCCACCATGGGCATCTTGGGAACTGTAAGAGATAGGATCGCCGGTAGGTAGTTTAAATTTGGCAAAGTTGTGTATTTTGATGCTTAACAAAATGCAGTTTTGAAACTGAAAATTCTGACTACTTTCGGAGATATCCGGAAAAAACAAAATTTTGTAAATCGTTTTTGTTTTTACTGAAGTTATTTACAAAGATATTTAATAATAAATGACACATTATTATGGCCACTTTTTTCCCTCTACAAGATGCTAATTTAAAATTTTAAATCCGACATTTCGTCTCCGGTTAACTATCATCAACTTTGTTTTTTTCTTATGGAAGTAATGTTTTACTTTTTGTGTCATTTGATAGAGAATTTTTTTCTGATTTCAAAAATGTACACATCAGTTTTTTTAATGTTTGTAAAATTTGCCTACAAAACTTTGTCTTAAGTAACGTACGTAGTAGTTTCTTGCGTTTTTACGAATTAATAGCGTTATTTCGTATTAAAAATACCTAGATGATGTTTTATATTTTTGAAATCAGAAAAAAATTCTTTATTAAATAACACAAACATTCAAAATTGCTTCCATAAGAAAAAACAAAGGTGGTTGACTGGAGACGAAACGTCAAACTTAAAATTTAAAAGTAGCATCTTGTAGAGGGAAAAAAGTAGTCATAATAATGTGTCATTTATTTTGAAATATCTTTTTTCTACAACTGTCAAAAAACCTGTCATTTTCTAACGGATTTCGAAACGCGAAGTACTAGATTTTTAAACGGTTAATTAATAAGTAAGGTTGCTATTGACAACGTGCGCGAAATCGTCAACAGTGAAAAAAAGTATTTCGCGCACGTGACAAAGTTGAACTTAAACAGCAATTTTAATTAACAATCGGTTCAGTTGTAGAAAAAATATTGTAATATAACGCTAGCGCGAAGTTATTTCGCGCATTTGACTGATATTTTGACTCGGCTTCGCCTCGTCAGAATACCTTCAGTCTCAATGCGCGAAATTGAACTTCGCGCTCTTGTTATGTATTTTAATAACTTCAGTAAAAAATAAAAACGATTTTGCAAAATTTCGTTTTTCTCCGAAAGTAGTCGGAATTTTTTCAGTTTCAAAACTGGATTTTGTTAAGCATCAAAAATACGCAACTTTGTCAAATGTAAACTACCTACCTATCTCTTACAGTTCCCGAGATCCCCATGGTGGCCCTCGAATTTGAATCACCCTGTATAGGTCAATTATTACACATTACACTAAACTAATACTAATATGTATATAATAGGTACTATCATTGAATAAAGAGCTTTATTCAAAAAATTTAATTTGCAACAAGGTATGGATTATAAATTTACGGTATTTTAATCTGCAATAAGCAAAGACAAGGGTGACGGTCAAACAAATCACATTACAAATAAACACCCACACAAGGTCGCCGCTTGCCAGACTTCGACAACAATATACAACAACCCTTTGTTCTAACAAAAAATTTTGATATTTGTTGTAAAGGAATGTTACCTATCCCCATTTCTATTATTTATTTCATACAACGATAGGTAGAGGGTACACCGTCTGCAATGAATAGGAAAGGGAAACCAAATAAATATCGAAGCAAGGAGTTGACAAAATAAAAATATACCAGTGAACGATCTTTTTTTTGCTGTCAGCAAATTCTACTATTAGTATTACACGCTCTGTTCAACCTTGAAAGAGAATCGCTAAATGATTTAACATAGGCAACTTACATAGCCTGCTAGTTTTTTTTGCTCGTAAATTTTTGTCTTTTATTATCCCCATTACACAGTACTAGCCTAGTTAAAAAGTAAGAACGAGTCCATCGCAAGATAAAAGCGCATATTTTATATGTCTCTTTATCGTATTTTTTTACTGATTTCATAAAACTGTTGGTGGCACCCTCTGTGAGAAAGAAGCTACACTGTTGACCGCGATATTAGTCACAGCTGCGTAGTTTATTTCCATTTCTCCAGTTTACATGCCCATTTTTCAGAACTTCATTCACCACTTTTTTTATGAAAACTTTTGAGCTTCACATGAATTGCCAAAATATAGATAAGTATTCAGGCTACCGATCCCATACACTCGTATTGCTTAAAATGCTCCCTAATTTTTGCAATTAATTCCTAAAGTATGAACTCTTTTGACGCATATTTTCTAGATTTTATAAACATATATTAATGGACAAAATATCAGTTTATATTGTATGGAAACTATGCTCTGTACATCTATCTACCTAATACATATTTTTCCGATCAGATACACCCCTTGCTTATGAAATGGTGAATGAAGTTCAGAGGCAATGCACGCCCCATTGAATGACATGTGCATCACCAGTTGCCTATATTCTCTAAATCCAAACCTTAAAAACTTCCTGTGAGCGTGAGGAAGTACGTGTCATTTGCTTTCTGATATCTTTTCAGTCAGAAAAAAATTAAATCGAATATGGTTAATTTCGTTTTTTTCCGAATATCTTCGGAACTAATCGGAATTTCCGAATCATCACTTTACCAAGCCTTAAGGCTGTATGACACTATGCAATTTCTTGTACAATTTCTTATATCGTTTCTGATATAATAAAAAAATGTACAGTGTCATACAGGAAGCAATTTCTTATATCAGAAACTATACAAGAAAATGAATAAAACTCATTTTCTTGTACAAGAATTGCGCCGATTTCTGCGCAGACCGTGCAAATGCGTTCGCCGCTCTCGCGTCATCATGAACAGCTGGAGGCAAACCATAAACATTTAACATAACCTATTTCATTTCTTAATCTCATCGCGATATACAGTTTGAAACATGTCGTGGACAAGGGATCAGGTTTTATCGCTTATAGAAATGTATGGGCGCCATTCCAATTTATATAACAGCTGTCATAAAGTATCAAGTACCAACCTATATCCAGGTTTGCCAAGCCTAATTTTGACCAATCATAAGCCGCCTTTCGCCCAATTTCTTATATAAGAAATTTAATAGTGTCATACGGCAATTTAACAGAATGCAAGAAACTGTACAAGAAAATGGATACAATTTCATATCCAATTACTTGTACAAGAAACGATCCAAGAAATTGCATAGTGTCATACAGCCTTTAAAATACGCAACTTTTTTTTAATTTAACAGACTGTATCTCTTATGGTTTCCGATTTTCCCGTGCTGTGCATTCTTATTTTGGACACACTGTATATATCAGCGGATTTCCAAAAAATATCAGAAATCCCCTAGATGTCCCTGAAAATCCGAGGATATCCCGTGAACTATCGAGGATGTTCGAAGATGTTTCGTGAATCTGCATGGTTTTACACATTAAATTGATGCACAAAACTGTACCTGTGTTTTCCCCCTCGTGTAATTCACAATGTGTTTTTAATGTCGCTAACAAAATATCCAATAAAACATACAAATATAAATTCATAACCGACTAATTTATTACTAAGGTGAGTGGCTGTGCCACGTGCAGGTGCACTTGCAATGTAAATGACTAACGTTTTAATTATTGCCTAATTAGATTTAAATTTGAATATTTTCACGATTAGTTCATAGTTTCGTTTCTATAAAATAGTATAAAACCAGACCGCGTTCACTAAGCTCGTATTTCGCCTTGTTCATTATAGAGCACCCGACATTCTGTGCTTGCGCCCTTACACCATTGAACGCACTGTATATAATGTACTAGCTAGCACGTGCCTCCGAAATACTTCGAGCACAATGTATCTTCGGGAGGCTATTTTGAGGCAGCGCCGCGCGTGTTTTATTTAGAATTCCCCAAAAACAAATTTGTTTTCGTGTACCTGTTGTTCACCTTGATATGTGCCATAAATATGTTGGTATTAACCGCGTTAGCAAACACATTGTATGCAAACACACATTCGCAACGGATGCTCGATCAGAATAGCAAACAAAAAGCGTTCGCAGCTTGTTAGTTTTTTTGTACCTAATGCGGGTAACGGAAGGAGAACGGAGCAGAGCAGTTCGCGAGACGTTATTTACAATAATAATTGCAATAAATAATGAGATGTTTTTTCTCCCACAGATGGAAGGCGTCGCTATCGACATGTACCAAGCGAGTGGAAAGTCGTTCAGACGAACCGAGAGTGACGGGATTTCGTTGGAATTGTTATCTCGTTATCAGTTGTATTTATCCTTGTAATAAAGCGCTGCATGAGTAAGCGGAGAGTTTAGTCAAATAGAAACGCGCGTAGTGATCGCAGTTGTGCCTTGGTGCTAAGAATAATCGTGTCGAGTGTAGCAGTTCGCGCGCGTTTGTGCCGTCTTGTTTTTTTAAACTGCCCAATTAATGTTCTACATGCTGCTCGTAGGAATTGAAAGTAAAAAATCCCTTGTGTCATATCCAAATGTCAATATGCAATACAACACGATCGGACGTGAACGAAAAGGTTCAGTTACGTCGGTGTCCAATTGGTTTTATTCACTCAAACGGACGGGGAAAAAGAGCAAAAATTCGCAAAAATATGTTACGTCGAGAAGCGATTGGGATATTTCCACTATATCTAAAACTCCCTCAAAATGGGTAGGTTTTCTAGGTCATTATTATTAAATACAAAACAGTAATTCGAACGACCTTCCCTCTATCGTCTCGTTTTTACCACGCGCGCAATGTGCTAATCGAAAAGTTAACATTCAATTTTCTTGCAGGCGTTAAAAGATGAACTGTGCGAGGTCGTCTCCGAAATGGAATCCTTGGATTCCGGGGAGGAGGGCAAGAATAGTAATAAGGCGAAGATGATGTCCATAGGACGTAAGAAGTTCAACATGGATCCGAAGAAGGGCATCGAGTACCTGATCGAGAAGGATCTGATACAGAACACCGCGGAGAGCGTCGCCCAATTTCTCTACAAGGGCGAAGGGCTGAACAAGACCGCGATCGGCGATTATTTGGGCGAGAAGAACGACTTCAACGAGAAAGTTCTGCAGTCGTTCGTGGATCTGCACGATTTCACCGATCTGATTCTGGTGCAAGCTTTAAGGTAGGTACAATTAGTCACAATATTGCTTTTTCGCTATTCTGCTTTTCGTTCTATGTTTTCCTCTTCTTTTTGCTCTTTGTATGTTCAGTCGATTCCCTTTACTGTTTGTGGGCATTTCGGCTAAAATGTATTGTCATTTTGGTTTTCCTGCGTGTTTCTTTTCTTCCTTAATAATGTATTGCTAAGCTAAGACTGTTAGAATTTCGGTTTTGATTGCATCTTCTCCAGCATTAAACACGGAATAAAAAGGACTTTAAAACGTCGGAATATCAGGGCCGTATTTAAAAAGAATGAAGTTGATGATGATTCCATAAAGACGAAACGTCGGAAGTGTCATTGGTTTTGCCCTTGATCAAATATTAACGCCAGCAACAATTGTTCGTAGCATCGAAAAATCCGATTTTTCCAAATATTTCAAAAACAACAAATGATTGTGCCCATTTAACCAAATTTGTATCTTACTGTTTCTAAAATACCCATAGTGGCCTTCTTTATCTCGAACACAATGTATACACACTCCTAGGTATGTAAACGATTTTGGTGCAACTTTGTACGTATTCTTCTTGCTTTACTTATCTCAATCTTCTTTATTTTCATTCCTCTCTTGGTTCCATCAGTTCAACGTTTCCTGTACGAATCATCAGCGAGTGCGCACTCTCCCATAGGTACTGTAGCAAGTGCGACATCAGTGCCACCAATGGAGAACTCTGTGTCATATTGGTTTAGATCTTTGTATGCTTTGTTATTTGTCATATTTTAAATATTTGGATTGTATTTATAACAAAAAGTAATAATCCTCACTTACAGTTTACTCTGTGCATTGTTGGAATTTAATACTAACTAAACTAACTCCTCAAAAACTCCCGGAACAGTAGATTATCTCCCTTATTTATGAAGCAATTTTTTAAATATTATTGGTGTGCGTATACAGTGTGTTAAGAAATTCTCCCCCCGAGGACAATGGGGGCTTCATTTTGAGACAAAATTGAATAGAAAACTCTATTGCATTTTACGATCAGACAAATACTATGTTGCAAAACAAAGGAAAAAAAATGGAGAATGTCCGCCATTTTCCGCTAAACATTCTTGTGCGCGTATTTCGACATGTTGACTTAATAGGGGTATCTATTCAGTTTTGTCTCATAATCAAACCCCCACTGACCTTGGGCGCGAATTTCATACCACCCTGTATAACAAATATTAGCGCATTTAATAATTCATAATGTCTTGTTTTTTCGATTTTCGGTTTAACTGGTAATGACTGTAACTTTGGTTTTTAAATGCAACACCCTGTATATTTAATCATGATCAGATGCAGAATAAGAAATGTTTTAACTAAGATGTTTGTTTTATTCAAAAAGTGACAAAAATTAAAATAAAAATCGCGTTATCTTTGAAAAAAACCGACAATAATTCACATCAAGTCACCAAGATACAGGGTGACGCATTATAAAACAAAAAGTTAACGCGTACCTTTAGCAGAACTTTCGCACTCGCGGAAGCGGAGGTCAATTGCATAAGTAGTACGTATTTTGCATTTGTGCTCAGTGGCGTACTTCTGTATAGTCAAGAGGGGCATATTTATTTTAATGGAAACTACTAGTTTTCATTACATATTAGAGTACACTTTTGGATATAGCAGCATTAAAAACTTATTATATTACATAATCAAATTTGAGAGAGACACTCACATTAAGAAAAATAGTTGTATTAATTAATTTGGTAGTTTTACTAGTTTGCGTTGAAAAAAAACGTTATTCTTTTGTTAGTTATGTCAAATCAATTTATTGCAGTCAAGAACCATTAAAAAGTTGTAAGTAAATCTACAAGTTTAAAAATTATTTTCAGTGGCGTGCGTCTACAAAACTAAAAGGGTCACTTTTTTTTATGAAAAACACTATTTTTCGTATTATTAAAGAATTAACTTTTTTCAATATGACAACATAAAAGCATGATCAAACTAGTGATTCTAAAATTACAAAACACGACTATTTTCTTTAAGATGAGTTTTTCTTTTTAATTTGATGATTATGTTATATGTAATATAATACGTTCCAAAGAAGTGCTACTCTTGAATAATACGAAATGAAAACTAGTAGGTGCCATTAAAAAAATATGCCCCCTTGATCATGCAGAAGTACGCTACTGACCACAAATTAAAAGGACATTGGCAGCAAACTTTTTATAATTTTGGATACCATAAAAAACAAAAATAATGTAGTTTTAAATTTATATATATTCAGTATTCCAGATCAAATTTTCACCCTGTGTAAGCACACCAATTGTTAAAAAAATTGTATTTTAATAATTTTTCCCTCCCATTTGCGCGTGGACGTAAACGAAAATATAATATTGTATTGTAGTGTACGCAACACATGTCACACGTGCATTGCGTGTTGCCTACTTTCTAATTTGAATTTTCGATGCAACATGGCGGTTGGGCTTCTATTGTTTTGTACACCTGAATACAGTGGCGATATTAGAGTGTCTAATTTCTGATAGGTTGTTGAGATCGCCGTACATGTTACATCGAGTTTCTGTTACATGTATATGGTTATTGTGTGTCATACGTGTATTGAATGTTGCCTACACTATAATGAATTTTCGACGCAACATGGCGGCTTTACGAAGCTTTTAGCCCCTATTGTCATCACTGTCTCGTATTCAGTCACTATACCTAAATGTCGCCAGCCCGTGTGACGCAGTTGAGGTGAAACTTGACTGCGGTACTAAGGGTCCCTGGTTCGAATCCGGGTTTGGGCATGGATATTTGTAAATGTAAATGTCCACTCAAGAATAAAAAGAAGAATGTGTTACTCATAAAATGCATAAGGTTAGCAATCTGTTGTTTGTGTATATCTGTGCCTTGTGTAAGTGTATAGCGGATCAAGTTGTGTTTTAAAGCATCTAATACTTTCCGAGACAGATGGAGGATAACGAACAGACATATGATTGGGGGATAGGATAGATAGAGATAGGTTAGAGCGATGTTATACATGCATGAGGGGAAGAGGGTGGTCGGTAAATAAATAGAGAAAATGCACAAATAAGGGAGTTAAGGAAAAATCAAAAATGGAATGGAGATGTGGGTGTGGTGGAATTGGGTAGGACCTGAAAGGAAGGTGTTCAAAGTGAGTAGAAGAAGATAACTATAGAGACGCAGAGCGATCAGATATTAGGAGAAGAGAGAGGGAAAGCGAACTGGTTGCCAACAAGGATGAACACGAAAGGAAACTGGTGGAAACAAAGAAAAAAGTATTGCAAAAGAAACAAATTTGGGTTGGAACGCGTAAAGAGGACAAAAAAAGGGAATATATGGAAAGAGGATTCGAAGAGGAAAAGTATAGAGACAAGAAGTAGAGCAATAAGATACGAGGAAAAAGGAGAGGTATGGAGCAAGTAGCAAAAAGAAGATATCGAGACATACAATTGCAGTAGCAGAAGGAGAACATTTTGAATTCGGACTAATATAAGAAAAATAGCGATGTTCAGATGTGGACATAAGAAGAAATCAGAGATGGGAAGAAGATCACAAATGTAGATTGTGTGGCGTTGTGTGCAAGTGCACCAGCCTGTTGAAACCAATAGTTTCAGTTGTATTCGTAATAATAATAATAATATTTATTTTTCATGCTACTACGCAAAAGCGCTTACATTTGTCATAAAATGAATAAGTAGAGATTACAAACAACGTATTATATCAACTAACAATGCAAATACAAATTACTAACAATTAAAGATTACTAAACCCATCGTAAATACATTCTATGGTGGAATAATATGCTTTATTGATAAGGTGTCTTATAAGAATTTTTTTGATTTGCACTTTGCTAATAAAAATGCTACTCAATAATCAGTACTTACAGTATGTACTTTTTATGGGCCATATATAAAATAAAATTAATGATTTCTCAGAAATGAAACATTATCAACGCTATCTTGTACAACTCAAATAGTGGCAATGAAAAGTGTTTTTTTTATTCTTTCGTTCAAATAAGATCAGAAAAAAATAAAAACATCTTAAGTAATCAGATTTTGTCCTTCACCTTTTTTCTTCGTTTCAATTATCAGTTACTCATACTCCTACTTGAGTTCTTGTTCTTACTTGTGTAGCATTTCCAGACAATTCCTGTGGAGCTTCCGTCTGCCCGGAGAGGCGCAAAAAATCGATAGGATGATGGAGTGTTTCGCGAAACGCTACTGCGACTGCCAGGGCGAGAATAACATATTCGAAAATTCGGACACGTGCTACGTACTCTCGTTCGCCATTATTATGCTTAATACCAGTCTACACAATCCGAGTGTGAAGGAGAAACCTTCGATAGAACAATTTATTACTATGAATCGGGGCATCAACATGGGACAAGATCTTCCTCGCGAATTACTTGTTGTAAGTATTTTTGTCGTGTGAGAAATAGACAGTGAGACAATTGAAATTTTGTTTTGAGTACTTTGCATTGTAAGGAGCTTGTTAGTTATGCCCTGTGAGTAACTGCTATTTACTATGCATATGAAATTTATGCACTTCTTCTTTTGAAACATCTGCCCGTTTCTACGCCCACCTGGCGCAAGTTAATTAGCAAATTATGGGCAAATTTTGACATATGTCACAGGGGGTAGTTAGACTTTCAAATTTAATGTGTTCTTTTTTAAGTGTTTGCCGCATGTAACATCTAAAGGTTAAACGCCGTTCTAAAGGTTAATTTGGTTCAAACTTTCACAAGATTTACAAAATTATTTAACCGCCAAATGCAAATATTAGCAAAATTGAATGACAACATTAAATGGACATTAAAATCACGTACGCCGGAAGCGCAAGCGCCATTTGTTTGTACTATCTTACATTAGACGTGCGTGTTGTTTAAAACTTCAATTATGTGAGTTTTCGGGATCGACCAATATCAGTATCGATATATCAGCCTACTTGGTGTTATGATTAAATAAAAGATCAAACTTAGTATTTCAAAAATAACAATAAATAAACATATGCGGACTAAGATGAAACATTTTGCATACATATAGTATTTTGTTCTCATCAAGACAATATGTTTTGACTCTTTTCTAAACGAAACTTTTAATAAATAACAATTTTGGTCAAATGTGGACATTATATTGAATTAATCAAAAACAACACAATGAAATGATCCATAGTGAAAATTGGACAAATTTAACACTAAGATATTTGATATTTTTTGATGGCTTACTTTGAAAAATGGCATCAGTCTTGGAAATTTTTTCAAGACTTTCGGCGGTAATTCAAAAAATTCGTTGAACTTTAAGAATTCGATTATAAAAAAGACCACTCACTTACCTTGAACGATTTAAGGCATGAATTTTTGACTGGACCCTTTGCATCTTCAAATTCAGAAAAATTGACATGTCAAAAACTATGACAGTTAGATACTTAAATCTTAATTGCGTTGAATTCAGAATAAAATACCGCATTTAGAAAAAAAATAGAAAATGGTATGTTTCTATTTAAAAAATCAAGATGGCACCACTTCCGTTTTTTACATAAGCGGCGCCATCTTGAATTTTATTTCAATTCGTAATGGTCGATTACGGCTGTAAACCAAATGCCAAGTTTCTATTTCAAAAACTTCAAACGAACGAGCGACGTGAATCACCCTGTATATCACTGAAATTGAGATTTTGTAAAATTTAAATTGTTCGATTTCTCCATTGCTGTCTCACTATATATTGTCTTTGTTTCACAGGGTCTGTACGATAGTATCAAAGCGGAGCCGTTCAAAATCCCCGAAGACGACGGTAATGATCTAATGCACACCTTTTTCAATCCGGACAAGGAGGGCTGGCTGTGGAAGCAGGGCGGCCGTTACAAGAGCTGGAAGCGGCGGTGGTTCATACTAAATGACAATTGTTTGTACTACTTCGAGTACACGACAGACAAGGAACCGCGCGGCATAATTCCGTTAGAAAATATTTCAGTGCGCGAGTGCACCGATCGGCAAAAACAGCACTGTTTCGAGTTGTACGCGAGTGGCGGCGCCGATTTTATTAAGGCTTGCAAAACTGATTCGGAGGGTAAAGTGGTGGAGGGCAAGCATACTGTTTATCGGATGTCCGCTAGTAGCGAAGAGGAGAAAGTGGACTGGATGGAAAGGTTGAGTAGAAGTATTAGTCACAATCCGTTCTATGATATGTTAGCAAGTCGTAAACGAAAAGCGCAGCATAACACTAAGAATTAATATGTCGACGATCCTGTAAAATTTATTGTAATTACGTGTGTTGTATATAATTATTTATTAAATTTTTTATTTAAAGTATTACGAGGAAATTCGCGTTCGGTTTTGTTTTTGTAAATTAAGTCATTCCCATTTCCTCGCTTACTTGATTGTAATGTGTTAAGTACAAAAGTATTTGTTTTTGTTTATATTATTTGAACAAGTGATGATTATGTTAAGTATTGTAGATTTATTAAATCGATTCTATTTTCGACGACTCTTTTTAATAATTAAAAAGAAACTCAAATCATTTAATAAAATTTGTTACACCCAGAATTAGTTAATTCATTTGTAACACCTAAAACAATTGATGTACATGCAATTAAAAAATGGTGCCTTCTATATTAAAGTCTATTAATTTATTTCGTTTATTGCGTTGTTTTCCAATTTAAAATTCACTGTGATAAAATATAAAACACAATGTTGCATATTCGGTAGTATTTTGACTTGCATATCTTTTGAAACGTTCCATTAATTGATTAATAATAATGTACCTTTTAGCCGAGTTCTAGTCTGCAATAGCAATTTGCGCTTTGACTATATAAAGGGATTTTGTTTTGGAATTAGGTTTACTTAAATATTGTGATTAATTTGTGCGCAGGTTTTTGTTTGTAAAAATTGTATCTAGATGTTTTTATATAATCTTTATGTAAATAAATCATTTTTTATCAAATTTTTCTCTGCTGACATCTGTGAAGGATACTATGTATTAATTCTTCATCCCCCTTAATCTGATATATGTTTAATAATCTACTGCAGTCTTTCGAGCAATTGTCATTTTTGACAGACACTATAAAAGACAAAGAAGGTAAATTATATTAGAAGATGCACGAATGAAGGAAAAGGAATGCAATAATGAGGAAGAATTAACACGGATCAAGACAAGCCTTTAAATGACATCGAGGAAGAAATATACACAATCATAGAAAAACAAAAATTATAAAAGCAATGGAATCCAGAAAGTTAGGATACTGTTGGAATACCCCTGTATAAAAAATACAAAGTTAGTAATGTAAGAACTGCAAAAAAAGGAGAAGAAAAAGAAGATCCCCATGAAACCAATTGTTTAGTGAAAGAGACCTTGCTATATTGTCACGAGTAGGAAATTCCTGTTTTATTGTTTGTGGATTTTAGGAGTGCTTATATGACACTGTCTGTGTTGGGGTTGTGAGACAAAATCGGGAAGAGAATTGATCAAAATGAAGAGAGTGCTTAAGAAAAATGAAATATATTGCGAACGAAAACATAAAAACACAAATATACGAAAAAAATCATCTACGACAATAAAATGCAAAAGAGAAATACACAGGTCAAACATATCAAATCGTACACTAAAAATCACGTAATCGAGTCAAATGCAGTTGCACTATTTTCACATCCAATTTCTTGAAAAATCCTGATGAAATTAAAACTTACACTTTACACATCGAATTGAAACTTTCCCCAAGAAAAAAAATGTAAAAAATCGTCCTATGGAACATAAATGTTTTGCACACGTGTACATATGTACAAGACGGCATAAAAAATTTGGACGTTTGCTTTCGGTAGTCCCTGTATTGTTTCAGATAATGGAATAAATTTGGCAACAGCGTTGACATTGGGATTTAAATGTCAATAATTTGAAAGTCAACGACCATAACCTATAATTTAAATTTAAGCTTGAAACATGCAACAATAAATAGTCATAAAAATTTTTTACACGATGTTAACGTAACACCCACAATGATCATTTTTACAACTTCCGTTGTCACCATTTTATCAAAATTACCGTTCATTTGAAGTATCAAAAAGACCGCAATGGAGAACACTCGAAGTCCAAAGCAAAACAAGCCAAAGAAATTAGTTAGTAAATTACTACCGAATAAGATTCCAAATAAAGTAGGAATTGCACAACCGAAAAGCACCTCGACGTCACAAGTTGATAATTGCAAAAATTTCGTTACTTCTGATAGACCGTTAAGTATAGGCAACTATAAAATGCTCGAAAACGAGATTGAATCCAACGGGCAAATTCGACGCTCTTCTAGTATATCCGAGGGGAATTTTCTTAAAGAAACTGCGGGGCTCGATAATAATAATAAGTTGCACGATAGAAGCGTATCGATTGATAACGTGTTTCGAGGGAATAGTGCGAAATCGAATTCCAGTATGGATAGTTTAGCCAGAAAGGCATTAATGGCGGCACAAGTATTGCATTTAATCCCGACAGTCAAGGCGAGACAGAGGAATTATTTACAAGGCAGAGTCGCTGCCAATCCGCTGCTGGGTACTGTCGAACTGGAACGAAATTTTCCAACTAGGGATGTTACAATTTTTGTCGGTACTTGGAATATGAACGGCCGCGGTCCTCCAAGGTAGTGAACAGTTTCATTTATAGCAGTCTAAATTTATATTTCAGTGAGCTAAACGATTTCGTCTTGCCAGTAGGACTTGAAAATGTACCTGATGTGTTGGCGTTCGGAACCCAAGAGTCGTGCTCAGAGCGGTACGAATGGGAGGTTTGTTTGCAGGAGACAATCGGTCCGTCTCACGTTCTTTTTCATTCCCATTCTTTAGGTAAGCGCGACAGTTTTAGTAATTTTAATAAGTCGTTCGTTTAGGTACCTTACATTTAGCCATATTTTTAAGACGCGATTTAATTTGGTATTGTTCCATGCCCGAAGATGCGAGCCTGTCTGTTCGGCCAGGTACGGCATTTAAAACAAAAGGGGCGGTGGCTGTATGTTTCATGTTATTCGGTACGTCGTTTCTTTTTGTTACCGCCCATCTTACAGCACATCAAGAGAAGGTGAAGGAACGGGTCTCCGATATAACAAAAATTGTTAATTCTTTGGATTTGCCAAGGGCATTGCCGCTGAAAACTAAAAATAAAGGTGAGTATTTTATCTGTACAAACCAAAGTTTGATACTTATTTTGTGGCTTTTGTGCTGCTGTTTGTTTTATCGTGAAAAGCTTCAATCTGCAGTGCTCTGGTTCTGCAAGGTTGTCCGTGGAATCACTTAACTTCTCACACGAATGCACATATATTTATATCCCCTCTCCCAGTATCTACTGTAATTAAGTCGCGCTTATCTCACTACGACGAAACGTTTATAAAGTCAGCGTAACTCTTACCAGCATTTGTCAGTTCGACCTCGGTACTGAACAGACGTATTTAACGACTTTCCTTGAGGTTATTTAATGACCATGACCAGCACTTCAATTATCTCATTCCAATTCCGAATATACATACGTAAAGCAGTATGTATGCTCTTATTCTATTTCCATGTGAAATAAACTTGCACTTCTAACTTCCGATTGTTACTTTATTTTAGCTTCATCAGGGTTAAATAATATCCCAACTTGGGTAGTTAAAATTGAAACAAATATTTCCTTACAATGCAAAAACATATATTCGCTTTCGCTCACGATTACATTCATACCTAAATATAGCTTACGCATTCTTAGCAATTTAAAAATTCCTGTACAAATTTCCGTACATACGATAGTCTGGTTACATATATAAGCAAATCCAATTGCGTTTGAATTTCAACGCTGAAGTAATAAATAGTTCCCACCGTTATAAATTGTGTTTGTGTGGGTGTAGACTCGGCATAAGATATTGATGTGTTCTCCGCACGCAGACAGTCGATTATTCAAAATTTAAAATTCTCTTTTAATAATGCTTCTGATATGATTATCCAGTATTCATTTTTATTTTAAATCCACCCAAAATTTGCACAAACGAAACAAAAAACGGCACAAACGCAGAAATTGAGATATATTTATTTATTAGTTTTGTTTGTGTAGACGTTACCCAAAACTTTGATTATGTCTTTTGGTCGGGTGACCTAAACTTCCGTTTAACTACTCCTCGAACAAAAGTATTGGAATGGTTATCGAAGACAAGCTTTCCCCTTCCGGCTCACTTACCGCACGGATACCTGCACAACGACCAGTTGTGCTCAGTGTTGTCGGACGGTGCGGCGTTTAAAGGGTTTCTTGAAGCGAATATTACCTTCCCACCAACGTACAAGGTAAGTGTAAATACCTGCGTTTTGTCTACTGAAGATTTTCTCATAGTATGATCCGGGCACACAAACGTTCGATACATCCTCGAAACAGCGGACGCCAGCTTACACCGATCGAATTTTATACAAACAAAGGGCCACCCGACGCTTGAGTGGGCAGTTGGAGACCGTTCCTTTGCAGTGTTTGATCTATGATTCTGTGCCGTCTATAACTACATCCGATCACAAACCAGTTTGGGGTGTTTTTCGAGGACATTTACGCCCGGGTCTTGACACGTATGTACATCCTAGCTAAGACTACTAACTACAGAGGTGCTCTATACAGGGTGGCCAACTAAGAATGCGAGGTACTGTATCTGAGAATCTATCCATCGTAGAGGCTTGCGGTAAAAAAATTTATTACTAAAACGGCCACGAGCAAAACCTGGAAAATATTTTTAAGTTTCTGAAATGACCGCTAGGGGGCGTAACTGCAATCTGGAATCTAAAAAAGTGATGTTTCTGTTATTAACCTAACAAAAAAATGTCCGGTTTTTGAAGTTGACGATAATCTGAACAATTTTTGTTTTGACAATTTTTCCTGTATCTCTAAAAATGAAGTGGTGGGGGGTATTCAAAGGTTTCCGTAAAGAACACCCTGTATCTTCGAAACGGCTGAGCCGATTTAAACAAACTCGGATTAATTGAAAAGAGCTATTCTTCAGCTACAAATATTATACTATTTGAAGTTTTGTTAGTTTCACATATCACCGCTTGAGGTCCATTAGCAGTTACGCCCTCTGGCGGCCATTGCAGAAACTTAAAAATATTTTTCATGTTTTTCTCGTGGCCGTTTTAGTAATAAATTTTTTTACCGCAAGCCTCTACGATGGACAGGTTCCCAGATACAGTACCTTGCATTCTTATTTGGCCACCCTGTACAAAAATCTGTTTTTTGAGTAAATTATGAAACTTGCCTCTAGGGTTTTCTATAGTGACTATACAAGACAATAGGCCGCCATGTAGCATCAAAAATTGAAATTAGAAATCCTCAAATACCATCAGTGTAGCTGTAGACAGTAGTGTTAACAACACACAATAACCATATGCATGTACCAAAAACCCGATGCAACATGGCCGCCAATCTCGACAACCAATCAAAAATTAGAGTATCTACTCTAGTATTGTTGCCACTGTCACTATAGGGTTTTCTTGTCTGTGTGTCCATCTATTGACGCGAATCATCAACGAAATACACATTTCTAAATTGGGTTTTGAGGTTAGCACAATGCCATGTTGCCACGCAATATCTAAATGTAATATTTCACTTAAACGAAGATACTTCCAGTAATTGGAAGGTGATACAGGCGGCCTCTCTATTTAATCTTTTAACAAGAAGAATATTCCGCCAAATGCGGAAAATTGGCAACACAGCAGTACTTTTTGATTCTAGATTACACTATCCTTGATTGTTTGCGTTTTACAGAATTCCTTTGGCGGCCGGCTTGTTCAACAGAGAAGTTTACATGGAAGGGCTTCGTAGGAGAGCAACGCTATTATCTTTCGACCGAAATGGTTCAGCGGTGTGTTCAATTCAGTAATCTTATATTTTATGTGTTCGGCCATTAGTATTTTTGAGTGGGCAGCGTTATATTCCGAGTATACACTTATAAACGTCCATGTTGGCATCTAGATACGTTAGACCGTCGACCTTTTACCTCAGTAACCAGTAGAGTATTACTACAATCGATGGGCAATTGTCGCCTCGTAACTTTGTAGTATCTACAGCAGACTGATTGATATATTATGCTAGTCAAAAGGGTTGTGATGAAAACTATTTTAAGGGTTTTCTGTTGTGAATAATTTAAATGAAGGTTCTTTACATTTATTGGTCAAATTTTTTAGAATCAATGTACTATGCTACAGCGGCTTTCACATCTCCTTTGTGGATAAAAGGGCAATTTACTTACGTATATTGTAATGGTCCTTGGAATTGAGAATTGTGTATTTATTAATTTGAAAACGTTAAAGATCAGTACAACTGATTTGATATGGAATTCATGGCAGTTATTATTATTGTGGAAGCTCTTTGGTAATATTTTTCTTACCTTTGTAAGTCCCCATCGTCCACCTATTAATTATATGTTTGAATATGTGCATTTGCCATCAGTGACCTCTGACACCGTCCCAAATGAAAGATGTATGTGTAAGAGACTCTGTATGGAAGTGTCATTTCTTTGTTATGGAAGAATTGCAAGTAAGGGGATTGTTATACTATTTTCATGTACCGGGTGACCCAATAAGACTGTTCCTCGGCCATATCTTGAGAACCGTTCGTCATATGACTTAGGGGTAAAAAAATATTGGGTAAATCGGTCATGAAGAATCGCTCAAAAATATTTTCAAGTTTTAAAAATGACCAACAGAGGGCGTAACTGCCATATTAAATTTTAAAATTGCATTTTCTTTTAATTTCGCATAATAAATTTTTAAAAAATTTTTCACATTTTTAAAGAGAACCAGTTTATCATTTTCGTAAAAACAAAAACTCAGTTATTTCAAAAACAAAGATGGCGTGGGGCGTTCAATTGTTTTTGCAATAACCTGCTTTAACTTCTTAACCGTTTGTAACAAATTTGGTATGGTTGAAAAGACTTGGGCAATGAGAATCAACCTGGAGATATATTTTGAGTATTTTCAAAATGCGACCATCGCTGCCCGCATCTTCTATCTGCGTTATCCGAATCAACCACGAACCATCGCCGCCAGCATATTAAATGCTTCTTGGTTAGAAATCGGCATTTTAGAAAAGATTACAAATTCAAAAAAATGTAAACACAGCAGAATAATTTACAAATTACGACTGTTATTATTTTATAATGCATCATGTTTCATTTGTATAATTTTCCAAGGCCTACCTAAAAGTGGAGGGTCCTTTTCCAAACATTCATTCGCGCCATCAACAAATACCGGAAATAAACGTCAAATAAGATTTTGGATCATAGTGCCAAAACTAGCCCCCTGGCGGAGAAGGATTCAACTAAATTAACTATATTTTGATTCTGATTGCCCAAGGAATGCTCTTTTCAACCATACCAAATTTGTTACAATCGGTCAAACGGTTTAGAAGTTAAAGCAAGTTATTGCACAAACAATTGAACGCCCCACGCCATTTTTGTTTTTGAAATAACTGAGTTTTTGTTTTTACGAAAATGATAGATCAACTGGTTCTCTTTAAAAATGTTTAAAAAAAATGTTTAGTCTGTTATGTGAAATTTAAAGAAAATCCAATTTTAAAATTTAAGATGTCAGTTACGCCCTCTGGTGGTCATTTTTAGAACTTGAAAATATTTTCCAGCGATTCTTCATAACCGATTTACCCAATAATTTTTTTACCCCTAAGTCATACAACAAACGGTTCCCGAGATATGGGCGAGGAACAGTCTTATTGGGTCACCCGGTACAAAAATCAAGAAGTAGGTATGTCAAAAGACAAAAGTTTACTTTGAATGCTAGTAACAATAAGGGGGATTATTAGTAAATTCGTAATTCTTAAGTTTAGTGAAGCAAATAAAAGACACTCCCATATCTCGTTTTAATACAAATGTATGTATATAGTGTGATTTTTAAAAAATGAGATTCCCATATGTTGAATCACACTGTACATCATACTATTAATGATAGATCTTTCAGCAATCTTCAAGTGCCGCCAAAATGAGGTGCATTGACATGCGTGTTTATTTTTACTGCTGTAACATGTATTAATCAGTGATGTCTTCCACTTTAGCGCATTTCGACTGCGATAGATTGTATATAGTGCATGCATGACGTGCTTTGTTCTAAAAATTTGATCACAGAGTGGTTGAATTGCGTGTACTTTAGAAGCCTTGCACAATTTATTATTTACTTAATAGTGTGCACATATTTTCCTATTTACACTTACATTTTTATACTGTTTGTAAGCTTAACTTCCCGTGGTGCCTTCAGACCTTTCTCTTGTATTTGTCCGTTCTGCAATAATAAAGTGTGTTGTGTACATGTCTAGAGGTCGGATAATTCAACTACAATCCAATTATGATTTTAAAGCCCGTAGGAAGGGAAGATATAAGATATACAGGCTGGTGACAATTTGACGCCAAACATGACTATTTCAAATAAAAATAGAATTCTAAATTGGGCTGATAAAAACTAACCAAAATTTAAAATTTTTAGACCTTGAATCTTGTGGTACCTTATTGTATATAGAAAAAAACGGACAAACTACATGCCTTTACTTTACAAACCTAAATTACTATTAACAATAAGATTTATTGTTACACAATTGTATTTTGTATACAAATTCTAGTCATTTTATTGTTAGCAATAAAAATATAATAGTTTATAAACATTCTTTTTCAATAGTAATCTCTATGTGATTCTAAATGTTATTGTTGAATTTCCACTGTATGTAAAATTAAAGATTAAAATATTTGAGACTTACTTATTCTCCTTGATTTGTTAGCGCGTTTTCCCAGATGGGTAAACTAAATTAGAACTCTTGCATGGTTTCTTCGGGTCATTGCCGGTCTTTCGTGTTTTTCTGATCAAAGAGAGTTTGAATGTTACTTGACTTCTGGATTCTTTTCACCTGATAACGTTGCTCTTAGTATTTTATACGAGGGTGACCGAAAAATCTTCATTGCCTCTAAATTACTAGAAAAATCCATTTTGGCTAAATTATTTACTAACTGTGATTTTAAATAATTTTGAAATGATCAAAATTACTTTTGTACCTGTAGGCAGTAGGTAATAATCTTTCAATTCCCCAGGCCGCCACTGCAACGTGGCCTACCTTAGAGAAGGAAAGTCATAGTCTAAGTGACCTACCTTAATTCCTAAATTACAACTTACGGTTGGTAAAAAACTACAGCAAAGCCCTCTAACTTTCAAGTCGAAACGACGAACGTTTTTCCCCACTTTTGAATCTTGGTAGCAGTCGGTTAAGACCGGATGGCAGGATAGAGCCTATGTTGTATAATCAGTTTGTGTTATGGTGTTAAGATGTGAGACATAATCACGAAGGGAATAGAATAAAACACAGAATTTTGTGCGTAAGAAAAGACAAGAAGAAATAAAAAATATTACGCACACGAAAGACGATACCAGGAAAACCTTATAGACAAAGATCCTGCCAGAAGTCGTACATACAAACAAGTTAAAAAGTAATCGTTGAACGATTTACATAAAGCGCATTTCCACTTGCATTCATTTCCCATTTGTAAGATGCAACTTCTGTTAAAATCGTAAAAATCCGGCCACAAATATGAAAGATAGCATTGCACATGGGCAATCCATTTTTGACGTGGTATTTCAATTTCAGTTTATAAGAAGAATTTCATTTCAATGCTTTTCTAAATAAGAAAGTTGGAACTGAGCCTAAATTTTGAAACTAATGTTAGATTTTTCCTTGTTCCAAGCGCCAAAGTATCAAAGTTCACTTAAATGCTTCCATAGATAAAAAAGTTGGCACTGCGCATGCGCAAAACCAAATTTTGAAATTGGCGTTTGATTTTCCTTTATTCCAAGTACCTATGTATCAAATTTCGTTTAAATTCTTCCATAAATAAAAAAGTTGGCACTGCGCATGCGCAAAACCAAATTTTGAAATTGGCGTTTGATTTTCCTTTATTCCAAGTGCCTATGTATTAAATTTCATTCAAATACTTTTATAAGTAAAAAAGTTTGCAATTCGGTTTATAAATGGTCGAGATGCGAAAAGGGCACTGTGAATTTTGAATCGATTCGACTCAACTTTGGGCATTGCGTATTATATGTCTAAAGCTATGCCCATATTGAATTGCATGCAATTCAGTTCATAATTAACGGAGATGTAAAAGCGATCGTGCATTTCTAAACAAAGTTATCGTTCACACGGACAGATAGAGGGACAGACAGGCAAAGGAGCAGACGGACAGACCAAGAGACAGACGACAGACAACAATACAAAATTACAAATGATCTCTAGGATCGTTAATATACGGCAAAAGTGTAAAATTATGGAACATGTAAAAAACGGTTTGTTGGTTTTTTTACAATAACTTTTTTAGCAATAAACGCAGAAAAAATTCCTTCCTTGGTGCAAGCCTCGACACCATAACGAACCAAATAGCGAAAAAAGTAGAACAATAGCTCTTAAGATAAAGAACTAGTAGCGTCGCAAAACGAGCGGACGGACAAAGGGCCACAATAGCGCATTTTTTATTATACCTGAATCACAATCTCCGTTTTAAACACTCAAATGCGTGCGAAAAAATGCCTTTAAAACACACTCCGCTTTGCGTCGTGCCTTTAAACTCGTTGAGACTTGATTATACACTTGTATCTGAATATACTATTTTTTTATTTTTGTGGAAATGCGCTAAAAATTAACAAAACCAGTGATACTAAACACTTACTATTTCATTTGGAAATCAACCTTGCATTTTTGCCTCGAAGTTTACAATGTATTTCTTATGGCAATAATTCCAGTTTTGAAAAAGTTTGGTGCAAAATGGCCCAACCTTTTTATTTTGGTAGTTTTTTTTTTAAATAACGTTTATAAAATGTTGCATATGCTTTTTAATTTAGACAGAAATGGAAACAGATAAGTTCAACGTTCATTTTGACATTCATTAGCCTCTTTATAGTTGTTTCGTGCATCAAACTTCTGTCATCAGACCATGCCTGATCGGAGCTGATGTTCTTGGATGACTAAAAATGTACTCCGAACATTAGTTCCAGGTTTGAAACGCTATTTTTTTTCCTTCTGAAAGGTTTCACCCTGTATATACAACTTACGACGATGCACACATTTTTGAGAACTGGCAACCTGGAAACCACGCAATTTTTAAAAGGGGAAAGCTGGGCGCGTTGGTTACATTTGTCCTTGGATGAATAATGGTCGAAGCATTTGCCACAAGAGTTTGAACCGGAACCGTTATTAGTGCCAAAGAACCGGTATTTTCGTCTCCCTTTCTAAAAACATATTCTTCTTACCCTTAACATATGTGAAATAAAATCAAATGGAAGCGTTTTACTTTTCACGTCTATATCTCAAATGATTTGAGAGTGAACTTCGGTTCCATCTTTAATAGCCACTCCGTATAATGGAACCCGATGTTCACACCAAGGGCGGTACGAAGAATACACATAAAATATCATTTTTGTTTATGGTTAAGAGCTCAGGCGCCTGCTTTAGGACATGGCCTGTCTCATTATGTAAGAGTTAGGGGGTATCAAGATCCATTCCATTCCATATAGCAGTTTTCATGTAACATAAAAATTGAAATGTTCAGGAGTCATGACAAAGTATCACATTTGGCATTGATGCTAACTATAAGATGGTGAAATCACCCTGTATATTCATCTCAAATAAAAGCCCTTTGGAAAATTCCACTTTTTACTACCTATGTAGGTATCAAAAATTATATGCCTGTGTCACGCAGTTAAGTTAAAGCTGAAATGTTTGTTGTTATTTTGTGTTATTTAATGCAGGTAGTAATTTTTGCATTTCTTTACATCGTATTTGTGTTTTGTACATTTTATTTTTTTGTGTTTGAATCTTTATGTTTTTGAAATTTACTTGGTTTAACCGCAATGCAGAATCACATATGTGATATCGTTATGCTATTGTTTGTCATTGTTTACGTTTTTGGTGTGATGCTTGCTTAATTTATGTTTATTGATGTTGATTACTTGGTCTTGTCCCTGAAGTAACATTCATATAAATTTTGACCATTTAATTTTATTATGTGGAAATTACCGATTCGTTTGATGTATGTACTGACTTTTATTGGTAACTAACAATTTTCTCCGTGAATGAAGCAGTCACGGGGGTGGTAAAAACTGTAGTCAAAATTGAGCTATGGCACCTAATTCCGTGATTGTCTTCGACTTTCAACTGTAGACTCGAAACCAGGGGCGGGCTACCTATCTTGCAGGAGCGGGATTACGCTAATCAAAGCTCTTCAGTTTAGAATCTATGTGCGATAAATGAGTGGCGATTCAATAATTTCCACATATCTTGTTTTTAGTTAAATTTGCCTACAAAACCATGTAATTTTCCATCTTGCTTTTAACAAAAGGACTTTATTGCACCAAAGATGAGTCACATCGTGTGTATTTCACCCTTTCTTAGAATCTTGGCACCTGCTTACCTGACCCATAATTCCCAAAACTTGTTTTTAACCTAAATGTTACCTCTTGAAGTTTACCTACTACTACTTTTTGTGATGATATAATTTTATGTTACGCATTCACATCATTACAAACAATTTGATATTAATTTGACGGCTGGTTTTTTTTACTGGTAAGTTCTTTTTTCCCCAGCCTATTTCTATTTTTATTCGGTGAACTACCATTTTCAAAGTTTATTTTTGCAATGTAATTTATTTCGACTTAAATTTCCGAGCTTTTACAATCAATAATAATTGTGATCATTATTAAACAAACTTTTCATGCGTTTAAATTCAAAAACTCTGACAGATGTGTTATATCACAAAACCAAAGGTAACTTCCTCCGATTGTCTTTGAAAAATAATTTGATTAGGTATAGCATCAGGACCCTGTTCTTGTGAAACCTAAGTAAGATTACGGGTCATTAAAAATTTGCAATGACTGAAAGAAAGGAACAAGTTGTGTCTGTCTAATGATAATCTTTAGTTCTGCGATAATAGCAACATTCACCGGCCACCAGGATTCCATTGTTTTTCCAGCACATCAGATTTTATGTTCATATTTAAATCACAATCATAGATGGAAACACTGGAACCAGTGTTGGCTATTAATACCAATAAACCACGATTAGCTCTTTATTTAATATATTGTAGTCGTTTTTTGATATTTTTGTTTCACTTTTTATAATTAATAAAAAAGAGATGCAATAGTAAAGATAGAAACGATGTTTATGCTTTTTTATTTAGCAAATTTCACACAAAACAATTTGATTGAAGTTTTTTGCCTTATTCATTGCTGACCGGGACAAGATAACAAACTGGCTGTGACACGGTGGCTGTACTTTTTGAGCACCCCATGATTCTGCGCCTATAGAAGTTGGTAAACGAAAAATAGAAAAACATTTTTACTTCTTTATTGTAGGTAACACTTAAAAGTAAAAAACAAACAAAAATACCATTGCGGTTTGAATATAAAATCATGTCTTAACTTTAATGCCATTTTATTGTTGCTGTGCAACTTACACTCGAATTTGTATCTTTAAGTACATGTTTAGTGAATGAAAACGTTTAGAAAAATAGAGATTTTTGTACCAATGTTATTAGTGTACATTCTACGGAAGACATTCTCAGTCGAGGTCATTTTCACAAAAAGATGATTACTTTTTATGGAAACCTGTTACGGTAAATCTTGTTCTTAATGATAACTGTCTTAATCATTATATGATATATTAATCACACATTAATAAACACTTATCACTTCAACAATTTATTACACTCTCACTGGTTTCAGTCGACGGCCATTTGTACCGTAATTAATTAATTCAAGTTTATTGGTGCAAACGGCCATAAGTAACTTATTCTTAGACTTCTACTATAAAATGATGTACTAATTTCCTTGCACTAAACCTGTTGCCAACATGACACAGAGAATTTCCCTAGCAAAAACTTGGAAGTTAATGTAACACGCCTAAAAGTATTACGTCATTTTATAGGTAAATTAATCAACAATAGAAAGTACAAAGGAATGCTTATCTAATAGTGCACATGTGGGAGGACACACTACATGAATTTGTTGCATTTAACACGCCCACAGTTGATTCAGACTATTTTGCAATTGTTTTTGATATTGCCACATGAGCACTATTACACCCTGCACTAGGAAGACAAACAATAATTACCATACACCATGCTTTACAATTCTTCTTTTTTTTCCTGGACCGTTTCCTGTTTTAAATCGTCTCCAAAGCTGATCGAAAGAAAAGGACCGTTAGAAATTGTAATGCAAAACTCGAGTAATTTATTTTGTAAAGTAGAACTGAGATACAATTACCAATGTCTAAAACTTAGACCAGATCGTCATTATTGTGCACACAAAAAAAAATTACTAGAGGTAAATCAGATCGTACTTTGAGGGAAGAAAGAAGTGGCGGCATTTTCAGATTGAGTATAAGTTGGTGCAAAGCAAAGTTTGAAATGTAGGAAAGTGAAAAACTGGGTTACGAGTGTATCAAACTGTAAGTAGGTAAGACTGATTACACATTCGGTGTGCGTAAATATGCAAGAGCAGTGGATGAATAAAAAGTATCAAAAACACGTTGCACCAACCTATTATGCATACAGGGTGCTTAGTCTCTTCTGAATATATTAGATGCCGCAACACCCTGTATATAAATGAGTATTAATACCACCAGTTCCTTTATTAATGAAGCACCATGTTTAAATTTGTGTTACTGACAGATGTAGACTTCTGGCAACGAAAATTCTGAAGATCTTGTTTAGATTTTCGACGACATTCAAGTCAATAGCGCTTGCATCATCCTCGCGCCGGTGCCATACAAACGGAAACGGTGTCGGGATTATGTGCAATATTTTCACACCTTCGAAACAAACATTAGACTGAGCAAGTTAATTTACCCATCACAATTACCTCGATGATAAAATGGAATGTGATCGTCTTCGATAAAAGAATACTGCGAACGGTCTACAAAATACGGCTGCTTATACCCGGTAAGTAATCCCAAACTGGCCAGCTGTTTCTCAGCATTCGACAGCACGTTGTACCTAAACAGATGGATTACAATCGCGAAGGCACCCAACTTATACTACCAAGAGCGGGTGTTTTCGAAAAACGAGTAAAATCTCGGATTCCTCGCGCCAAGCAGATCGAGCAGCACCAAAAGCTCGATGGACTCGATGTGGGATACAGAAGCGCCGTCCGCCGTGTTACGAAGTGTCTGATCCCACTTCTCCGCCAAGTGTTTAGCACCGTAGATCGAATCGTTGGGACCCCACTGCTCGAACGCCTCCTCGCCGTCGAAGAATACCAATTTCAGACTGATATCGGTGCGATTCTTGGCGTTGTCTAGTTCCTTTCGTAGCACCTTCGCCAGGTTTAACATCATCGCGCATGGAACGGCGGAATCGGTCGCACCTCGAATATATAGGAAGGTTACAGGGTTGAAAAAAAGAGCCCTTAACCATTTTATAGCAGATAATAAATTGACATTCTAATAGGTTTGACTCAGTAGGCTAACTCTCTTTAACAGTACGAGTAAAACAAATGATTGTGCACTCTAATGGCATCTGTCATTCTTATTAAAAAAGGGCCGCCGAGCACGAAACAAAATAAAGTTCACAACTATTTTTGACGTCTTATTTAAATTCATTATTTCAGTTTTGTGATATACACGAAGAATAAAAGGTAAATACCCGTAAATATTTTTTTGCAGTACAGCAAAAAAGTAATATTAGTAAAGTAAACAATTTAAAGATTCCAGTATGAATATATGAAAGATATGTTACCTATCTAAAAAAAGTAAATGTTTGCAGTACTTCTTGAGGAAAGATAAGGAATAAACTTTGGAAAATAACACACTTTGAAAAATATTTCATACTATTACAGAATATGGGATTATGGTCAATGTGAGAGAAAATGAATTTGATGTAACAAAATAAATATACAGTGCGCCCAGAATGTGCGAAACGTCGTTATTCACGAATGGATTTTTTTCAAATTAGAGTAAAATGCAAAGAATTCATTGGTCATAATGATTTTGTCCACTTCCGGTTTGGCGGAAAATAACCCCAAATTTAAAAAAAATATAGGTAAACATAGAGAAATTAAAATTGAAAATTGAGACTCAAAAATTAATTTCTCTATGTCTACATCTGAATACTCAAACACAACATGGAGCTCTTCATCAACAAAGTCAAAAAAAATATACACAGTGTTGTATATAAAATGTCCGGGGATATTCCCAGTCAAACTGGAAGTGCACAAAATCACTATTATGATCAATATATTCGACCGTTCCGGGACTTAAGGCGCACTCTGTATAATGATATTTTATGGAAAACAAAAGGAAACCCGAGATGAATCGAGAAAATTATTGCAAAATAGGGCCGATGTTATAGAAAAATAAAAGACACTTTGAAGAACAAGAAGATTCTCGAGGAATATACGGAGATTTGAAGGACATGAACTGAAGAAATTCTCTAGAACTAAAAAGGTAACTGTTGGAGAGCAAAAGGAAAATATTGTAACGTTATTTATAAATTCGGGTTCGATTTATATAAATATTTATTAAACAGAACTAAAACACTATAAAATCCGTACAATTTATATCGATTATTTATATCACTCACACTTCGCAATTTATGTTTCCGCGCTCGATGTTTACGTACTCGTTCGGTAGTAGACTGCCGCGATGTTCGGTCCGCAACCATTTATACACGCAAGCAATGTAAGTCCAGTACATTCTCGAATACTCCTACACAATCACGCTATCGCGCGCGTAGAAAATTCCAGAGCGCCAAAGGCGACGTCATGTCTGGAGCATTTCCGTTACAATATGATATTCACATTCGCATAGAAATTGGAGAAATTTAATTACATAGTTTATTTATTAACAATAAATTTATCTATTGTCTTGAAATGAATTGACCTATATCAGTTAAAATATTATTTATTACACACGCATAGACAATTTATGACAACGCTAACTATTTATTACTTCGGCGTTGAAATTGGAACTGAACCGAAACACAATTCGATTTGCTTATGGAAAATTAATGTAAAGGCAAGATTTTGAGGAAATTTCTAGGAAACTCGAAGCTATCGACATGACATTTTTTAGAAAATATGAAGGGTTTGTGGAAATTATACCGATTTTTGAAAAAATGCTGTTATTGTGTTATATAGAAAGTAGGAAAATGCAAGGTCCTACAAGTTTTGTTGAAATTGGTAATTTAGGAAAGATGAAAAGTAAGGAAATTTGATAATATTAACAATCCCACTTTTATGAACATCTGAGATGGTATACCAATCTAAGTGTGCTAGGGGTCACTTTAATTTACCCCCACCATATCTGGAAGAAACACTATCCACCTATTACTACCCCGGAGATAAACTCCAGGTACTTACTCAATTTTAGAAGATGAGTGGAGCTGATGGACGAAAAAACCACCAAAGATGGAGGGACTGGGAATCGAATTCGAAAAATATTAAAAAATAAAAAATAAAATAATTTTTTTGTACACCTTGTATATTTTGATCTAAAAACATAACAAAAAATTCTCTTTTCAAAAATATGGCAAACTGGGGATGACATAGAACACACTAAAGATTTTTTGAATCACTTGATTTTTTTAAATATTAATTTAAAAAATCAAGTGATTCAAAAAAATTCGAAAAATATTTTTTAAAAAACATTTTTTAATGGAACACATTGTATATTTTAGCCTAAAAGGTATCATGGCAAATTCTCCTTTCAAAAATATAATACACTAGAGAAGTTATTTTAAAATTAAAAAATGAATTTCAGTTTTGAAATGTAACCTTGTATATTTTCTTTTCAAAAATATGAACCTAGAGATGATGTTACTAAAAAAATCAGGTAATTAAAAAAATTCGAAAAATATTAAAAATGTCATTTTTTAAATAGAGCATCTTGTATATTTTAGTAAAAAAATATAACTCTTTACAAAGAATATGACACACTAGGGATGATAAAAAATTCAAATGATCCAAAAAAAATCGAATTCAAATATTTAAAAAATTTAATAAAGAATGTCATTTTTTAAATGTAACAGCTTGTATATTTTAATCTAAAAAGATAGAATATAAAGTTCTCTTCTCAAAAATATGACCCACTAAATCAAGTGATTCAAAAAATTTGAGAAAGAATTTCGTTTTTCAAATGGAATACCTTGTATATTTTAATCTAAAAGATAGCATTTGAAAAAATTCGAAAAATTCAATTCAAAAAAAGATTAAAAAAAGGTTCGAATAATTTAAAAAAATACAAAACAATTTTGAACTTTTTGAAATCTTTTTTGTATCTTTTTGAACCAATATAGAATTTTTTTGTGTTTTCAGAATGTAATATACTACCTTTTTAAGATATTATATACAGGATGTTCCAGTAAAAAATGAGGTCCGATAACTTTTTATCTGACCACGTATATTTAACAATCACCATAAAAAAACTTTTGTAATAAACATTTTCGAGTATCTCTTTTAACATGAAAATATAATGCCATTTTGAAATTGATAATTTTTGATTTTCCCCCGAATCTTTTAAGCGAGCGAAAATGTGCAAATTTTGATTTTACGATTTTAAGTTTGACCCTTTAACAAGAACACGACAAATATTACTTTTTTTGATAGCACTAACAAATACTGAGATACCCTGTAAGTACTTCTAGTGTGTTCTTAGAAGTTTAATAGATTTAAATTTGAGCTTGAAGTGAAAGAGCATTTTTGTAATTTTGGAAAAATTTCCTTTTCTTCAAAATAACTAAAAAGACTATTAATGGTACATAACATTTTATGGGGAACCAAAATTGTAGTTTTTGCTTTTTTGAAAATTTTCGTTTTTTTTCGGTAGGATAAAAATTAAGTGCATACTTATGGTGGTAGTCCTACATAGTAAAATGGACAAATCCTTTCAAAAATCAGGGGGTAAAGAAATGTAATTCATATAAGAAACAAAAATAAAGGTTTTTTCAAACATTTCCAAAAAGGTTCCATGAGTTTTCCCAGAAAAAATGCATTTTTTTTGTTATTTCACGTTGTGGCGTTTGACCAACCTTTAAAAAGCTATTGCTCCGTTGGTATTGACCTAATACGTTGAGAAGAACTTACTTGATTGGTGGAACGTATTTGCATGATCGATGACCGTATTACAAAAAATGAAAGTAGTCGGAATTTTGTTGTTGGTTGAGCAGCTGGGGACAATGTGCGTTAAGTCACGATAGCGTTCACGTCAAGCGGGTAAGAAAGGATTAAGTCAATCGCTCGTGAATTTGCGCGGAGTGGTTTTATAATTGGTGAAGAATTCAGATGAAGATAAATCAAACGCGGAGAAAATGACTTTCACTTGGAAGGGGTAGTTTCCGGTTTACCTACCACACAGTAAATACGAACAAACCCGTAAAGTTCTAAACGCAATCTATGCGCCTGACAGTTAACTCAACGGAAAATTTAAGGTCGACCAAGATCGTCATGTAAACAAAAAAAAGTGTAAGTACCTATTCTTATTTGATTTCGAGTAGTAATTTCAAAGTAAGTTAAGGGTTTCATTTTCGATTTACAGTTTTTGTCGAGGTTTGAAAAAAATTTGGTCACATGTGCTTATACTAGTCCAGTGAATTTTGAGTTTCATGTTAAGTTTAGGCAAGCCGAGTGGTAGTTAGTAAAATAAAAATACTAAAGTAAAACCATTTTGTGTCGAATGCTCGGTTGAATGGTACAGTCATTTAGATAGAGATTGAAATTAAATTGATGTCGACGAAAAAATAAAAATAGCTTACAAAATCTACTGAGTAACATATCAAAAAATTCATCTCCGAAAATGACCGCGAAATTTATTTAAAACGATTGATTACGTCAGCTGATTGTGTTAATCCAAAGGTAACTGGACGCTCATTGGCTCATTTAAATTTATTCCGTAGCGCGCGCTCAAATCGCGGCATGTGCTAATCGACGTTGGATAAAATTTCAACAATTTTAAACATAAAAAATAGGGATTGTAGGACATGGGTTCACACATCAAATTTAAAGACAATTAATTTCTCTACCACAGATTTTTTCATTGACAGAAAATTAATTTGAACTTTTCCTAAATGGGATAGATTGACTGAACTAAAAATTCTGTTGACTTCATTGAAGTGATTTTCAATAACGAATAATGAGGTGACAGTTTCATTTATTTTGATTGGTAGTAGCCCTAAAATTATGTGTGACATTTACACATTTTTGGCCATCCATACATGTTGTTTTAAATGTCCACTCGAGTATCTATTCCGCAAAAAGATAAAATGTTATAATGGTTTTGTTATCAGTCTAAATAACACCGATATCACGATTTCCTATGCTTTTAATTTAAATCGATATTTAAATTATACAAAATACTAATAATTAAATTGGAATTATTATTCAAATTGCTTTAACTCGTATACCATTGAATAATATTCAGATTCTTTATTCAATGCTGGTACTGAAGACATCTGAATGTTCGAATACTGGACATAACTGTGCATTGAGGTTGTGATGATACCCGAAACAAATTCCTAATGCATTTCAAAAGTATCTAAGAATTTTTTAGCAGTTTGAAATACTACTTGAGTATTCAATTATTCTGTGAGAGCCCTAGAAGATATATTTCATTCTCAAATGCTACACTTTTTAAATTATGTTCTTCAGCATGACTAAAACAAAAATGTATCATGTTTTAGACATAAATATCACATTAGCTTATTATACCTTTTGTTTTAAACATGCCAACCTTGAGAAGCTAAACATATGTTAACATCGCTCAGACCTACCTATGAAATCAAACTCCTCGAAGTACTTGCTATCATAATGGCACGCCAAACTTATAAATTTGGCAGCGTTCGGGTTTAACCTCGCAACGATATTCTTGAAAGTAAGCGTACCGAAAATGGGGGTTCTCTCCTGAAATTCGTCGACTTCAATTTCGTACCCGAGCTTGTCTAATTCATTTATAATGTATTTCGCTACATTTTTGTGCCCTTCGGTTCCAACGACTCTCGGTACTAATAAATGTTTAAATGTTTCCTTTGTGTACTGCGTGTCGGTTAGATCGGAAAGGTAGTGCACTTGTCTATCATTTAGCGTCTGTCGGGATGAAGTGCCCTAAAAACAAAAAGGAGTTACTTACGGCTATGTTGATTTGAAAATACACTCACTTTCGCCGCTGCTGAGAATTTAAAAACAAAAACCAAAATATTCAAGGTTAGGACATTAATTATATTCATGTTGACGCGCGGAATGTTAGAAGTAAACAAGGTAGGTCGGTACAATGAACATAAGGTGCTTGCCACTTTCTGTTAAATTAATATGCTATAAATAAAGAACATATTAAAGGGGGATTACAGTGATAACCACCTCCCAAATCCCACGTATAGTTTTCTTGTGTTGACAGTAACCATGGCAATTGTTTGTGGAGACGTCAGCACATTATCTACAGGCTGTTCTTTACGAACTAGTTGTAGTGGTACCCTACTTGCAGATGTGTTCCACACTGACTCCCTCTCCCTGTACTGCGTAAACGCAAGCGCGCTAAAATTTGAATTTGTGTACAGCTGTCAAGTGTAACGGGTAAATAATATACACATAACCTGCAAACGTTATAATTGAAGATAATTTAGCTTACCTGCTTACCTATTATATTATGTAGTAGGTAGGTATATGAAAATGCCATGTTATCAAGATGAATTTTGTTGTTATCTACATTTGGAGTGCATGGTCATAGAATATGCCAAAGGCGATATTAGGAAACTGCTTCGGTAAGTACTGTAATAGTTAATTAGAAAGAGTTAATGACATTTACTTACAGCAATAACGTTACAGACAGACCAACATTGATCTATGGTAAAGAGAGAGTCCGGTGCTGAACGAATCACAAAAAACCAGACGACAAGGATCATGACTGATAGCTAAAGTAGAGGTTTGCTTTCAAGTTGGCGCTATAATGTATTTAATTGGAATTCACAGTAGTGACCGAAGGCTTTAATTCGAGAAGAAGAACATATATTCTTTCCGAAAATACAGCGACATTTGGTTTGTAATATGGAAGTCAGCTGGAACTGGTATTATAAACAAAACAAATGGTGGCACGTTAAAGCAAATTCAAATTTTAGCGCGCTTGCGTTTGCGCAGTACAGGGAGTCAGTGTGGAACACATCTGCAAGTGTGGTACCCTCTAACCCGCATGCGGTACAAGTAATTTGCTTTCAAGTGTAGTATGATCTTTGCTTTCAATTTGTCACTACTACGTCTGTTTATTATGTTTCTTTTGCTTTTTAATGCTTAATTAGAAATTTTAAATAGAAACAGATATAAAATATTTTAGAGTGAGAAATATCGAAAATGATCTATTTATATGTACCTACAAAGGAAAATAAATTACCTACTTATGTCATAAATATTCTGATAGGTATAAGAATATTATAATATTAGAAACTTAGTACTTAGCCATTGATATGCACACTATAATCAATAGTATTTCGGACACCTTATGGTTAAAATATGCAATATGTTTGCCTTTATTAGAATATTTGTTAAAATTTTCAAAAATATCTCTACAAATAAGAAAGTTGACATTTCGCAATTTGCGCATGCGCACATCGGACTTTTACAATATACGATATGCTTGTCTTTACTAGAAGAATCTCTTGTTAGAATTTGAAAAAAAAGTCTCTCCATATAGATATGAAAGGTGACATTGCGCATGCGCAAACTAACCGTCAAGATTTTTCTTGATTGAAGTGCCAGAGCCACAAGCTACCGAATGCAAACAGAACAATCTAAATATCTTGAAAACTGAGGGAGTAGTTAAGATCTCGGACGCATGAAGTGTTATAAATAGCGCATTCCAAGATGAGTTGGAAAATGCGCTAAAAATACCTTCGACAGAAGATTAATGCTAGAGAATGATGACGGTACTTCTCTCATAAATCGAATACATATTAAAAATTGGCTACCCATTATAGTGTCCATTAGATTAGCGTAATCAATATGAATTCGTTCCCAATTGTTTTAAGGGTTCATCCCAATGGGTGTAGTCAGGGCCGGATTGACGGGGGGGTATGGGGGGGTGTCACACCCCCCCTAACGCGTGACCATCGTCGGCAAAACTTCAGTTAGTCGGCACTCGGCAAATCGCTATTCAAATGAAATTAATTAAATTAATATTGGAAAAAAATTGCGTAAAATACGCCGGTAAGCCGGAAAACCGTTTTGTAGCAAAATGAAGAAATATTGGTTGTTACTCTCATTGATATTACGAGGATGTAGATCCATTACCTTTCATGGTTAAAGGTCGCTTAAAAATGTTCCGCAAATTTTTCTAGCCGTTATGTTTGCATGGGTTTAAAAGTTGCGATAGGAATAGATGGTAGATAAGTATACAGGGTGGTCATTTTTAGCGCCTGACGATGGGATCTCTTATGTTGAAAACTAATGGTCAAATTGGTGTAAAGTTAAATTTAAAATGCGAATCAATCATTGAAACCACTTGTGGGATACCTCTTTTAGTTTCAATAATTAAAAAGAACTGAATTGTACGTTTTAATAATTCTGTATTTAAAAAAAACGAGTATACCTATTTATTTATTTATTTATTTATTATACTTCAGAAATGGGCGGTTTAGAGTATGACATTATTTTTTGAATTTGTTTTGAACGTAGGGGTCACATTGAATTTTTAGATTTTTTTAATAAAGAATTTACTATGGATTTCTATATTACATTTTAAATATAACACTTAATTATTCAATTGTCACAAGAGTGTCTTTTAGACAAAAATCGGTTTTGGATAGATTACTACTTTTAAGTTAATAATAATATATAATAAAATCTTGCCAAAAGAACGCTTTACTACATTTAAAACGACATTTTTATTAATTATCTTGATTATAAATGTAAACTACCAAAGCAAATCCGCAAATGAGTTTGCTGCAATTTCTAAAGCACTGTCGTGAAAATTGAATAATAAGGTATTTTGGTAAAATCAAAGTAGTAAATTAAAAGCTATGGCACGTCAGAGAAAAATAACTCTGATGAAAGTTCATAAGATGAAATTTAGCGACTCTAACGCAAAAAAAAAGTTCTATGCCATTCTGGCCATATTTATCAAATTCCTCTGTAAAGGTCTTCTAAACGTCCCACTTCGACTCGGTTTTCGTGCAAATAGAAATAAAATAGAATCCATATCCATGACAGCCGCGAAAAAAGAGCACTCTGTATAATGACAAATAATAAAATAATAATAATTATTATTACTTTGGTATTTATTATATAGTTTAATTAAAAATCATTTGCGTTCCTCTATGGCGGATAATTGGCTAACTGCCTTATTGGTTCTAAGTAATCAGAAAAAGATATAGCAGACAGTATACATTTGGAAAAAATAGGGTCACAATGGGCAGCGTTAAAATGCCGTCGTTTAATGTTGTACGCCGTACGGTGTATTATTTTGAATTTTTATTGAAGTCGGCATTTTTTATTGCATACACCCCCCTTACTCGGAGCCTCTGACTACGGCCCTGGTCATCGCTAAAGGCAAACACTGTGGTGTAGCCCGCATCATTTAATCTCCAGCATTTTGGCTTTCGATCCTTTTCGGGATCTTCTCAGGTTCCACTTGAGGATCCAGGCGTGTGTCCTTACGGTCTTCGTTTCGAAGAATCACAAATCTCGCCCCCCCCCCCTGGAGCTCGCTAGCTCTGACCTCAAGCTGTCCACCGAAACCTGGTTTGCGCATGTGATCAACAGCGCTCTCCCTCGTGCCGACATTCCGTAAATTGGGGAAAAGCGTCGACTCTGTCAAGGATCCAGGCTTTGATCTTACCGAGAGCCTCCTCTTATTAGCTTTCGGTGCGCCGCCCCGGAGAGTTTTTTAGGCTCTTTAATGCCGGTGCTCTCGGAGTAGTTTGTTGTGTTTTCTGTTTTTCTTGGGCCATAAGAGTGCCACGAGTATGGGGGAAAGAAATGTCCACACGCGTCGAGCCCCCTGCACACGTCTAAGGCGACTTAATACAACGGTGTGGCGCCCGGTGCTCCGAAGTTGGAGCCAGTAGTTGGTGATCATCTATTCAGCGACGCATCTACTTCGGCCCTCTGACTCTTGGAATTTAGGTTTTTGCGATCCAAAAGAAACGCTTCTGGATTCCGCAATAGTTCAAAAGAAGACATAGATCGGTCCGATTAGCTGCTAACACTGATGAGAAAACATTCAAAACCACCCCAAGTTTTCACTTTTAACACAAACAAATGCACTCAAAACTCACAGGGAGTACGTGCTGATGCAACTAACCGGTAGCTCAGAGGTAAGGCTACTGTGAAATGGACCTGGCCGCCCTCAAAGATTGACTATTTGACCTATTGAGGGTTGAGCTCCAAAATTAAACTTACTTATATAATTATACTCGTCATTCATGGACAAAGATTAATTTGTAATAAATAAAGAAAAACAGATTAGGGGCTACGCCAGAATCGCCGATGACATAGTGATTGTAGTACGTAGGGGATTTGAGGAGACCGTATCAGTTAAGAGGCAAGGAGCTTTAAATCTAGTGGGAACATAGTGCGAAGAAGAGGGCTTGTCTGTTAATTCAACAGAAAAAAAACTTCATTAGCTTTTCTCACGTGCATAAGGGCCGACAAAGCTAAAGGACGTTGCAATGTAGGGCACCAAGCTACAGGTAGTGAGAGAAGGTAAATACCTGGGCATTGCGTTTGGCCAAGCACCTAACTTCAAATCACAAATGGAAAAAATAGCGAACAACGTCACAAGGTCCCTGGATATACACTAATATAATACCAGTTATTACGTATGTGTGTGGTAGAATCAGACCTTCGCCCAGAAGAACATACAGATACTGATCAAGCTGCAGCGCAAAGCTTGCCTTAGAATTATGAGGACAATGATAACGTCCCTGACAGTAGCTATAGAGACTATATGAACTGACCGTCACTACACCTGGTAATTATAGCAGAGGCATTCAGACAGGCATACTGGCTGAGAGTCAATGGAGAGGAGGAATCGTCAAGGGTAGGATAACTGAGAGGATAACCAAAACAGTTTGTGATAAAAAAACCTGTTTAAGATGATAATCCCCGCTCGATACGAATGGGAGGGTTATACCAGTATGGTAAAGCTGAATGGAATCGTGCATTACACAAATGGCTCAAAAACTACGGAGGGCACCGGCTGTGGAGTGTACGGAAGGAATTGACAGGGCTTCAGAATCTAGGACAAAAAGCAACCGTGCTCCAAGCCGAGGTATACGCAATCCTGACTGCAGTTGCTCAATTATATTAACAGAAAACCTTACTAAAAGGAAAATCTTTAGAGTAACAGACAACAATTAAAGCACCGAGTGCAGAATTAGACTCATATGTAGTCGATTCAGGACTTTTCCTTGGATGCACACAGAGGTACTAA